ACTCAACTTGCTTTAGCGTCTTCCATCCGCTTCCGAAGTCCATCCATATTTATTTTATTAGCAGTTTCAGCTTGCCCAATTGACTGAGGATGTTCAACAGATGTTAAATAATGTTGAATCTTGAAACCAGTCATCAATTCTTGGAATTTCTTATCAGTGAACTTGGTTCCATTATCTGTCACTATCTCGGTTGGGATTCCGAATCTGGAAATAATATTCCTTTCAAAAAATCTTTGAACTTTAGCCAAGGTAATGGTAGTAACAGGCTTAGCTTCTGTCTATTTTGTAAAATAATTAACAGCTACAATCAACCATCGTAACTTCCCTTCAGCCGCTTTAAATGGTTCCAACAAATTCATTCCCTATTTATAGAAGGGCCATGGATCCGAGATAAATTTCAATTATTCTAAAGGAGAAAATATCATATTTGCGTGTTTCTGACAACTTTTACATTTTTTGACATGTTCTTTTGCATCAACCTCTATAGTAAGCCAATAATATCCTGCTCGTAGAGCTTTTTAGGTCAAAGCTTTAGCACCCATGTGTTAACCTTTAATTCATTCATGGATGTCTGCCAATACATACTCAGCTTCTTCCAAGTTCAAATATTTCAATATTGGAGAATGTAAGTGATGTGCCTCTGGCAAATGTAATTTACCAAGCTGGAAATGATAAGAATTGAGTCATAAAAGAGCAATTTAAATACATATTTGCTTATTATATTGATTCTTTCTATATCAATGATAATTCTCACCTATTGGTTGTGTTTATACAGGTAAAAGAAGTGAAAATTACAAAATTGTAAAAAGCCTGTTGATGCGACTCCAAACGGGTGTAGCACCGTACAAACTCCAGCAACATGGCGCGGACTGGCGCCACACTGGCGCCAAATCGCGCCAATCTACGAACTTTGCAGCTGTACTTTGGAAGTGGCACATCTGGCGCCGATTTTTGGGAGAAATTCCAAGTGGCGCTTGTTTTACGAAAAGTGCAGTTTTGGGCAGAATTGTGGCGCCTAGTGGCACCACAACGGCGCCTAGTGGCGCCGGTTTTCGAGAAAGTTGGTCCGACTTTTCACTTTAGCACAGAAGCACGGCTCCAAGTGGCGCCAAAACAGCGCCAACTTGCGCCGGTTCGCGGAAAATTACACCGTGTTGTCAGAGGGTATTTTGGAAGAAGGAAAAGAGGCGTATAAATATGATGCCTTTTACAGAATTCGGAATCGAATCCGATTCTGATGACCAGAAATGACGGTTGAGCTCAGAGAGAGTTCTGAAGGATCTATTTGTTCTTTCATTCTTCCTCTTTTCTTTTATCAAGTATGTTGAATATTGAATTTTTAGTCATGTATAATGATTGGCTAAGTTCTTTTTATTGTAGTTAGGGTCACAAACCCTATGGGAACCCTTGTTACGACGGATTGGTTTACGTATTCTATATTTTCTTTATTAGAACTGATCAATCTAATAGTTGATGATAATCTGAGGGTTAGAACCCTAGATAGGAATATTGGGGTTTTGATCTTGAAAGGGGGTAGGATAACGATTGGTATGCATGCTAGGAATATATGTATATTTAATTGCAGATGCTAAAATTATTGAGTTCATTGCTTAATGCCATGAGAAACATTGCAAGGAATTGAGGTTTCAATTGGGATTAAAGGGTTAACCTTGCAAAGAATTGAGGGTTAACTATTAATACTTTTAGATAATAATTTATTTGAGTAATTATATAAATGAGTATTGTAAATCAATCCAAAGTAAGAAGTGGGAATCATTCGGTGAGTGTACTCTAGCTACAATGCTTTCTCATTTTAAAAAATCAATTTATGTTTTATTTCTCATAAACAAAAAGCAAAAACAAGTTCTTACTTTTAGTTCTTATTGTTGCTCAAAGCCAAAACATTTCGTCCCAATTATTTGAACTCTTCAATCTTAAAAGGAACGATTATTTGATATACGATCATAATCCCTGTGGAGACGATACTTGACTTATCATTATATTACTTGTGCGATCGGTCTACTTGCCGGAGAGTATCAAGTTTTTGGCGCCGTTGCTGGGGATTGGCGTTTCTTATATCAATTAATTTTGATCTTTAAGATTGGATTTTATTTTTATTTTTGATTTTTGTGTGATATTTGAACAGTGCTACTGAACTCTTTTCTGAGTTGTATGCGAGGTAAAAAGCCAGAATTTCCACTTGATTTGGAGATTACAAAAACTAAAAAGAGAAACAGAAAACTTGCTCGGAAGAAGCTTACATTCGACGAGTCAGAAATTCTGTCTGAAAAAGCACACACCATGGCAGGGAACAATGAAGAAGATAATCCACTCATGGATACTATTTTGATTCCATCGTTTAACAGGCCCAATGCGAGTATTGTTCAGCCTAACGTTGCCAACAATTGGGAGCTCAAGTCTTCCCATATTCAATTGATGGAGAGAGCTCAGTTTGGAGGAAAGGAGAGTGAAGACCCTCACCGATTTATTGACAGATTCTTGAGGATCTGTGACTCAACCAAACACCCTCAGGTGTCTAATGATGCAATCTGGTTGAGGTTGTTCCCTTTTGCTCTTAAGGGAAAGGCTCTTATTTGGTTGGAAAGGCAGCCTGCAACAAGCATTCCTACATGGGATGATTTGCCTCAGAAGTTCTTTGCTGAGTTCTTCTCGATAGAGAGATACAGCCAGATGGTGAATGATATCACCAATTTCACTCAATCCGAGGGTGAATCAATGTGTGCAGCATGGAACCAGTTCAAGGATTTAATGAGGAGGTTTCCTCATTATAACTTGACTACTGGTAATCAGGTTAGAATCTTCTCCAATGGTTGCAAACCTGAGGTGAGGATGGTGTTGAATGGTGCAGCAGGTGGCACGATCAAATCCCTACGAACAAATGAGACTCTTGAGTTGATCGAAAGGATGGCTGCTAATGAAAATGAAGTGTTGTCTGCAAAGCCTAAGAGAAGTATTGATGTGCTTCTGGCAAATGGGGTTTTCCAAGCTGGAAATTATAAGAATTAAGTAATAAAAGAGCAATTTAAATACATATTTACTTATTATATTGATTCTTCTATGTTAATGATATTTCTCACCTATTGGTTGTGTTTTTACAGGGAAAAGAAGTTAAAATTAAAAAAGCCTGTTGACGCGAGTTCGCACAGGTGGAGCACAGTACAAATTCCAGCAACATGGCGCGGACTGACACCACACTGGCGCGAACCCGCGCCAGTTTCCAAATTTTGCAGCGAAACTTTTGGAGTGGCGCCCAGTGGCGCTAATTTCTTCAAAAAATTCAACATTTGGAAGTAGCTTGGCGCTACTTGGCGCCAAAATAGAGCCAAGTAGCGCCACCTTTTTTTGGAAGGAATAGAAATGGCGCCAACTGGTGCCAAGTTACGAGGAATTTGGTCCGACTTTTCCATTCAGACAGAAGCGCGACGCCGCCGTGTTTTCTGAAGGGCAATTTTGGAAGAAAGAAGCGAGACTTATAAATAGGACCCTCGTGACAGAAGCAGGAAACAAATCCTATTCCGAAGACCAGAGACGACGGTGGTGCTCAGAGAAAGTTCATTGTTCTTCCATTCTTCCCCTTTTCATTTATAAAGGTTATGTTGAATATTGAATATTTAGCCATGATTTTGGTTGGCTAGTTTATTTTTATTGTAGTTAGGGTCACAAACCCTATGTGAACTCTTGTTACGACGGATTGATTTATAATTGCTCGTTTATATAAATTATCTTTATCTTTACCTTGTGCATAATTATATTCTCATTATTAGAATTGATCAATCTAGTAGTTGAGGATAGTTTGGGGGTTAGAACCCTAGATAGGAATATTGGGGTTTTGGTCTTGAAAGGGGGTAAGATAACAATTTATATGCATGCTAGGAATAGATGTATATGTAATTGCAGATGCTTAAATTATTGAGTTTATTGCTTAATGCCATGAGAAACATTGCAAGGAATTGGGGTTTCAATTGAGATTAAAGGGTTAACCTTGCAAGGAATTAAGGGTTAACTATTAATGTTTTTAGATAATAATTTATCTGAGTAATTATATAAATGAATATTGTAAATCAATTCAAAGTAAGAAGTGAGGATCATATGGTGAGTGTACTCTAGCTACAATACTTTGCTCTTATTCACAAAAATCAATCTTCGTTCTTATTTTTATTCTTCAATATAAAAATTCAAAAACAAGTCTTTATTTTCAGTTCTCATTTTACCCAAATCGACAATATTTGTCACAACCAATTTGAACTCCTCCATTCTTGAAAGGACTATTAATTGATATACGATCACAATCCCTGTGGAGATGAACTTTTCTTATCATTATATTACTTGTGCGATCGGTATACTTGCCGGGAAGCATCAAGTTTTTGGCGCCGTTGTCGGGGATTAGCGTTTCTTTTATCAATTAATTTTGATTTCTCTGTGATTCTTGAACAGTGCTACTAATCTCTTTTCTGAATTTTATGCGAGGTAAAGAACCAGAATTTCCACTTGATTTGGAGATCACAAAAACAGATAAGAGAAATAGAAAACTTGCTCGAAAGAAGTTTGCTTTTAACGAGTTAGGAATTCTGTCTGAAGAAGCACACAAAATGGAAGACAACAATGATGCGGACAATCCACTCGTGGATACCATTCTGACGCCACTATTTAACAGGCCCAATTCAAGTATTGTCCATCCTGAAATTGGCAACAATAATTGGGAGCTCAAGTTTGATAATATTCGACTGGTGGAGAGAGCTCAGTTTGGTGGAGAGGATGATGAAGACCCTCATAGGTTCATAAACAGATTCCTGATGATCTGTTACTCGACTAAACATCCTCAAGTGTCCAATGATGTAGTCCGGCTGAGAATGTTTCCTTTTGCTCTTAAAGGAAAAACTTTGAATTGGTTGGAGAGGCAGCCTGCAAGAAGTATTCCCTCATGGGAGAATTTCTCAAACAAGTTCTTTGCGGAGTTCTTCTCGATGGAAAGATACAATCAGATGGTGAATGATATCACCAATTTCACTCAAGCTGAGGGTGAAACTATGTGTGCAGCCTGGAACCGATTCAAAGATCTAATGAGGAGATGTCCTCATTACCCCATGACTAATGATGATCAGGTCCAAATCTTCTTCAACGGTTGCAAAACTGAAATTCGGATGGTTCTGAATGGTGCAGTAGGTGGTAGCATTAAATCAATGAGAGCAAATGAGACTCTTGAGTTGATTGAAAGAATGGCTGCCAATGAAAATGAAGGGTTGTCATCTAAGCCTAAGAGAGGCATTCTTCACCTAGACAACAATGATGCAGTATTGGCTGAAAATAAATTGTTATCACAGCAGATGGCGACTTTGACATCAAGGCTTGATAAGATGCAGCTCTCTAGTGTCCAAGCTCAAGCTGCTTCAGTTGTTTGTGAGTACTGCAAGGGTGATCATGAATCCAATGAATGCCCATCTTTACTATCTTCTGACTCTCCTCAACAAGTACAGGTGAATGGTGTTTGGTATGATCAAAGATCTCTGCCACGAAACATTCCGAGGAATCAGAATTTTCCTTCTGGAAGTAGCAATTTTCAAAGGAGAGGTCAAGGAGGTGGTCTTGATTATAGTTCTAACAATTATATGCAGCCTCCACCAATCCAAAACAAGGAACCTTCTGATTTGGAGAGGTTAGTTGGGCAAATGGATCAACACTCCAATGCCTTCATGGAAGAGACTCGGGCCAATACTAAAAACATGAGTGCTTCTATCAGGAATTTGGAGAATCAAATTGGCCAGCTGGCTAAGCAAGTTGCTAATAGAACTCCAGGCACTTTCCCTAGTAACACAGTCACCAATCCGAAGGAAGATTGTATGGCCATCACAATTAGAAGTGGAAAAATACTTCCATCTCATGAGGTTAAAGAAAAGTTAGACACTGTAGGATAGCCAGAAAAAGAAAAAGAAATTGAAAAACCTGCTGAAGTACTGAAGCCAGTGGAAAAGAAGAAGCATGAATTGAGTCCCGAATATGTGAGGGCTATGGCACCGTATACTGAAAGATTCAAACAGGACATTCAAAAGAAGCATTATGAAAGGTTCTTGAATATTTTCAAAAAGCTTCATGTTAATATTCCATTTGCAGAAGCTTTGGTCAATATGCCAAATTATGCTAAATTCATGAAGTATCTTTTATCAAGGAAGCACAAGTTACAAGAGTGCCAAACTGTAGCACTTACTGAGGAGTGCAGTGCTATCATTACAAGGAAATGTCCTCCTAAGCATCGTGATCCTGGAAGCTTGAACATTCCTATTGAAATTGGTAACACAAAAATCAGCAGGGCATTATGTGATCTTGGGGCTAGCATTAATTTGATGCCTCTTTCTGTTTGCAAATCCTTAGGGATTACAGAACTAAAACCCACTATGGTTTCTCTTCAACTTGCTGATAGATCTTTAAGGAAGCCTAGTGGAATAATTGAAGATGTTCTTGTGAAGGTGGACAAGTTCATCTTTCCTGCTGATTTTGTGGTGCTTGATATGAAGGCAGAAAATGAAATGTCTCTTCTTATGGGTAGACCTTTCTTAGCTACATCTCGTGCAATGATTGATGTTGAAAACGGGAAGCTCGAGCTAAGAATGAATGATGAGACCGTTACTATTAACGTCTTTGATTCTATAAAACATTCTTCTCACAAAGACGATTGTTTTAGTCTTGAAGTCTTGAAGGAAGAAAAAAATGTAGCGGTTGAAGTTCTTGAAAAAGCAGATGATGACAAAGAAGATGGTACCTCAAAAGTGGAATTGAAGGAGCTTCCTCAAACTCTAAAAGATATCTTCTTGGGTAATAAGGAGGCGGTAATTGAAGCACTGAAGGAACAGGAGACTGATTTGGAAGATAAAGATCCCTCTTCCCGTACCCACAAAATTCTCGATGAAGATGATGACAAACATGGGAGAAAACCCCAAGGGAGGCGTCATCTTATACGAAAAAAGGTACTGAGAAAGGAGGTGGTCAAACTTTTTGATACTGGTTGGACGATGTGTGCGGATCACCGACAAATGAAGGCCTAAAAAAGAAGAGTCTTTGACAAGAGATACCAAGACTCTATCTCTCAGAAAAATCAATACTTCAAAGAGTTCTTAACATGGCTTCATGGTTTGAACCAAATCTGGGAATGGTGGTCTCATACACCAAGGCATCCAGTACCACCAGATCCTCCATTTGCTGAGTCATCCCACGCTGCTGAAGGGGATGACATGGAGGGTTGATTATATCTCCTTGCTGACGGAGATCTTGTATATTAGTTTATTTTTCTGTTTCGTATTTTTAGTTACTTTGTGTTGGTATATCTCTCTCTGATGTTTTAATGTGCGCATTATAGTTTATCATATATGCCACTGTTTCTTTTTTCCATAGTGCAGGTTTTTCTTCCTTCTTGTGGTTTAATTATTGCTGAGGACAATAGTTCTCTAAATCTGGGAATGGTAGGCTTGCATCTTGGAACTGCAATTCTTCTATCAGGGGAGATATTCTAACTCTTTTAAATTTTCTTAGTTAATTTTGTTAGTTATTTTTGTGTGCTTTGTATTTTAAAAAAAAAATAGTGATCTGTATTTCAAGCATTTCTCAGGTTTAAATGTGCTTGACTGAATTCTTGGAAGCATACTGTATGACTTTCTAGCATAACATTGCATAGGTATAATTGGATTGCATGATTGCTCGTTTGTCTGAACTGATGTTGTGAAATTCTGATAATGTCTGAGGTCAATTTTCCTGAGTCTATATTGATACCATAGTTGTGAGGTTCGAGCCTAGACACTGAAATTATTTTTTTTTGTTGAGAGACCTCACTGTTGTAACACTCTAGAACTTGATTTGTTTCTCTGTAATGCATGCATTGATTGAAGTGATAAAGGCATTTTGTTCTTGATAGCATATGGCCAAAATAGCCCACCTGTATGAATTTTTCCATTGCTAGCCCCCCTTGAGCCTGAACTTATTTTGTTGATAAATGACATGTGGCCTGATTGATGGTTTAGCTTATATCCAAGTGACTTACCTTAATTGAAATTGAATTACTGATGTGTTGAAAATAAAACAAAGAAATTGAGGTAAGCTCCACAAAGGTCAAGTAATTAGGGAAGGTAAATTTCATCTGTGCCCTTAAAACAAAGGGAGAAAAAGGAAAAAGCAAGAAAAAAAAGAATGAACGTAAATAAAGGTGGCTGAAAGCAATTAATTCCCGAAATTTTGTGGGAATCTTAGTGGAGAAAAACCATTGAGTTGAATGTGCTAAAGTAAAAGAATATTAGTTTTTCAATCTCATTGTTGTTTAGCTACTATCCATATATTCCTACCCTTTAACTTGACCAAGTTACAACCTGTGAAGTCCTTTTGACCAATTGATATATGTGTTTGATTCTTCATTTTTAAGAATTTTTTAGAATATGATCAAGTCTATGGTAGTATTATATCTGTGATTGATTTAGTGCTTATGATACCCTTAAACACTGAGTCTTGAGTGAACATTATTTATCTGTGTGAGGGGTAAACAATGTAGACTTGTATCTTTAAGAAGCTGATGACATTGTTGGGAGTTTATGATATTGGGTCAGGCATGCATGGCATATTGTGTCTGAGAATGTCTATGGATTGTTATGTTAGATTAATTGAATATGTCCTGGATTGAGTCTTGTACATTGCTGGGAACAACAACGTTTAAATTTGGGAATGGTTTGATGTGCTTCTGGCAAATGTGGTTTTCCAAGCTAGAAATTATAAGAATTAAGTAATAAAAGAGCAATTTAAATACATATTTGCTTATTATATTGATTCTTCTATGTTAATGATATTTCTCACCTATTGGTTGTGTTTTTACAGGAAAAAGAAGTGAAAATTATAAAAAGCCTGTTGACGCGAGTCCGCACAGGTGTAGCACAGTACAAATTCCAGCAACATGGCGCGGACCGGCACCACACTGGCACGAACCCGCGCCAGTTTCCGGATTTTGCAGCGAAACTTTTTGAGTGGTGCCTAGTGGCATCAATATGGTGCTAACTGGCGCCAATTTCTTCAAAAAATTCAACATTTGGCAGTAGCGCCACCTTTTTTTGGAAGGAATAAAGATGGCGCCAAGTTACGAGGAATTTGGTCTGACTTTTCCATTCAGACAGAAGCGCGGCGCCAATTGGTGCCGGTTTGCGTGAAAGATACACCGTGTTTTCTGAAGGGTAATTTTGGAAGAAAGAAGCGAGGATTATAAATAAGACCCTCGTGACAGAAGCAGAAAACGAATCCTATTCCGAAGACCAGAGACGACGGTGGTGCTCAGATAAAGTTCATTGTTCTTCCATTCTTCCCCGTTTCATTTATAAAGGCTATGTTGAATATTTAGCCATGATTTTGGTTGGCTAGTTTATTTTTATTGTAGTTAGGGTAACAAACCCTATGTGAACCCTTGTTACGACGGATTGATTTATAATTGCTCGTTTATATAAATTATCTTTATCTTTACCTTGTGCGTAATTATATTCTCTTTATTAGAATTGATCAATCTAGTAGTTGAGGATAGTTTGGGGATTAGAACCCTAGATAGGAATATTGGGGTTTTGGTCTTGAAAGGGGGTAAGATAACAATTTATATGCATACTAGGAATAGATGTATATGTAATTGCAGATGCTTAAATTATTGAGTTTATTGCTTAATGCCATGAGAAACATTGCAAGGAATTGGGGTTTCAATTGGGATTAAAGGGTTAACCTTGCAAGGAATTTAGGGTTAACTATTAATGTTTTTAGATAATAATTTATCTGAGTAATTATATAAATGAATATTGTAAATCAATCCAAAGTAAGAAGTGGAGATCATATGGTGAGTGTACTCTAACTACAATGTTTTTCTCTTATTCACAAAAATCAATCATCATTCTTATTTTTATTCTTCAATATAAAAATTCAAAAACAAGTCTTTATTTTCAGTTCTCATTTTACACAAATCGACAATATTTGTCACAACCAATTTGAACGCCTCCATTCTTGAAAGGACTATTAATTGATATACAATCACAATCCTTGTGGAGACGAACTTTTCTTATCATTATATTACTTGTGCGATCGGTA